GTTAATAAATGAGAGAAAAATGGTAAACGTAGTAAAGTAAGTAATGTCACCCAATAAGAAATGATAATTAGATTGATGAAGAGGAATAAGATTGTCCTTTTTATGGAATGAGATTACCAAGTCTGAGGTGGGCATACCATTTGATTCCATTCATACAAAGTAAACATCATCAAAGAAAATGAATAAATTGATTCTCATTCCTTGGTGCACATTTTCTTAATTATATTATATTATTATTTATTAATTTTTTTTTTGAAAATGAGTAGTTATTTTATCTTACAAAAGAATATAAATCTTAATAAGTAGCCTTTATTTAAATTTATTTAAAAGAGAAAAAAATTTACAATATAATATTCTATTAGTGTAAAAGAGAGAGAAAAGGACATTGTTGAAAGAGAGAGTGTAGCAACTCGATCAAAGTAGGAGACGTATATAATTTTGGAAAATGTTCTCCATGCTAGGATTAAAAAAAAAAAAAAACTCATCAAGTTGAAAATCGTGAAGTGACATAATATTAATGAGTTCTACGAGAGGTATATTTTGTAAATAAACTTCTAATTTAACATTATTTTTTTATAAAAGGCCCCTAAATGAGGACAAACCCCAATTTCCCAAATGTACTAATAAAGAAGGATCATGGGCCTGCCTACTCCCAAGCCTGGCCCACCGAAGCCCAAATTCCCAAGCCTGCCTACTCTCAAGCCTGGCCCACTGAAGTCCATTGTGGAACCAAAATGAAAATTGTTTGCAAAAGTTTCGAAATGTCGATGTCGATGGAAATGTCGAGGTCTTCATTTTAGGGACATGTAGATGTCGATGGATATTTGAGAAAAAATTATGGAAATTAATAAAATTTAGTAAATAAAACTTTAATTGTAGTTTAATTAAGTTATAATTGATCACTTTTTATCTATGAGTAATTTACCTATGAAAATGTCGATGTCGATAGAAATGTCGGAACAATATAACAAAGATTGATGAAAATAATTTAAATTAGTAAATTAAAGTTCAATGTTACTTAATTTTATGTTTTATTAATAATTTATTACCAAATCTAATCTTAGTTACATATAATTGAACAAGATATGAAATATTGATACATATACATGATGATTAACTTGAGTAATTAGAAATTGAAGGATAAGTTTGAAAATTTATAATTAATTTTGAAAAGAAAAATAAGTCTAAGGTTAAAAAAAATCAACCCGAATAAAAATAAGATGGATGAATACTAAAAATTAAAATAAATAAATGAATTTAAATAATAATAATATTATTATTATTATAAGAAATAAAGGAAAATAGAAATTATAAAAAAAAAAAAAGAGCACACAAACTTTGACAAGAAGGGGAGGGGAGCAGTTTTTGAACATATTGGTTTGCACCCACTGAACCATTACAAATCGTTTGTCCAACGTTTTCCTCTCTGCTTTATACTTTTTATTCAGTGGCATTCTAATTTTGTTTATGCTAAATACACACAAAACGGTATTTAAAAGTTGATTCCGTAATATTCCTATTTCTTGTTTCTCGTTTTCAATTTTGTTAAAAATCAACCTTTTACAGCTAATTATACTTCTTGTTTTTCATTTTTTAAGAACATTTTCAAAATTATATATAAATTTTGGAAACAATTCAAATAGGTTATTCTCATTTCTCATTTGTTCCAAAACAATGGTACAAATCAATAAATAAAAAATTATTTGATCACACTTGAATTTATGGATGTTGGGACCATGTAATTCATTTTTCTTTATTAAAAAATGAAGAAACAGAAACAAGAAACAACGACGTTACCAAACGGGTCTTAATTTATTTTTTGTCAATTTTCAATTTTACCTCCCATGTATTAACATTTTTTCTGATTAAGTTGTCATAGGAAAAAACAAGGTTAAAATTTGTCAACAAAAACTTGAAGTATGTTTTATTTACATATATGAATACATGAAGTATACACGCGATTTACTTGCGAGTATAATGAAATTATCTGTGAAGCTGATAAATGAAGTATTGACCGACTAGCTATTGTTCGTGAAACTATGAAAGAAGATCAAATTTAAAGTTGCATATGTACGTACTACTATATTTTCCATTTTTAATTAACTTTAAATTAAACTCCATCCAATCTTTTATTAAGATGATTCAGTCTAATATAACATAACATAAGGTGCTATTGTGTATCATTTTGCTAAATATATTGTTTGGGGAGGAAAATCGACGTGCCACGTGGAGGATAGTGATACGCCCACATAGACATGAATTTCGAGCAGTTCCACCTCGAACCCTCCGAGTTGGAACACTTAGCCATTTCTCCTTAAATTCAGCTTGTCTTAATGGTCCGATCTGTCGCATCTAACATGTTCAATCTACTACGCAACAGGAATAGGTCTCATTTCTACACTAGGTATCAAATTTCTCCTCAAACCTACTATTGAGTCTGTTTACTGAGTTGAGCGTCAAAGAGTTTGCTCTAGAGTCAGCCAGTTTTCGTTCTCGACCTCTACCAGATCATACCTCATCTTATTTTTTCATAAACATATATAAAATAAAAACTTGAGGGCGCTTTCCTATCTTGAGAAAAAAAAAGAAAGAAGACGAATAGAATAGACATAACACGAAATAATTAAAAAACATTTTTATTTTTATGTTGGATCCCAATTAAGCCTTGTAGAATTATGTGATACTCGATGGATCGATGAAACTTAATTTATTTGGGACAAAAACAAAACTTAAGAAGAAAAAATTGAGGTAAATGTTTGGAGTCCACGACATAATCCATCCAAAACTAACTTAATAAAACTAAAGCGAACATAATTCAGTTGACATATATTTTTTATCTGACTTCCAAACTGAAAAGAAAAAGGAGTGACGTGGCTCATGTTTATTAAACTAATCGCAAAACCTAGCAAAAGGTCTGGCGAGAGAGAGAGCTAGGTTTGTTAACCTCTCCTTTTTTTTGTTTTGTTTTGGGAAATATATAATATATAATTAAATGATGAAGGCGGCAGTAAATAATGCAGGGATTAATTG